GCGCCGCCCGCGGTGTTCGCGTCGTCGATCGCGGCACGCACGCGCGCGAGCTCCGCCTGCAGCCGACGGCCGCCCTCGCTGAGTGGCACCACCTCGCTCCGCTGCGCGGTCACCACGATCGCCTCGAGCTCCCCGCTGAGCGGCGAATCGTAAAAGCCCGAGATGTCGGCACGCGGGCTCTGCGCGAGGATGGCGGGCGGGGCCTCGGAGCTGTCGAAGCGCACGTACGCCGTGGTATCCGCCGTGTCGCACGTGTGGATGGCGACCGCGTCGCCCTCGCCCACGCGCACGAGACGCAGCCGGCCGGAGGCGGCGCCAGACCCTACGAGCTGCATGTTGAGATCGCTAAAGGGGATGTCGGCGCAGACGGGCGCGAAGCCGCCGCGGCGCAGGCGCTTCGTGAAGCGCAGCGCGACGCCTGGCGGCCACGGCACTCGGCTCTTCTCGCCGCTGGGCAGGCCTAGGGCCGCCGAGGCGATCCCAATGAGCGTGCCACTACGGTCGACAAAGTATTGGACGGGCGCCGCCGGTGGCGGAGCTAAGTATTGGACGGCGCGAAGGACCGGCGTAGCGAGCCCCAGGGTGATCATCTCCAGCACGCGGCACACGACGACGAGGATTATGTGCAGCAGCAGCGCGGCGAGGAGTCGAGCAATGCCGAGCCACGTGCTCGCCGGGTTGGCCGCAACGGTGCGCAGCGAGCCCGAGGCGAGGTTGAGCTCGCTGAGATCCCAGAGCAGCGAGCCTCGACCCGTGGAGATGATGGCGATGTTGGGGTCGCTTCTCGGCAGCCAGAGCTGCAGGCCGCCAACGAAGCCGACGCAGCACGTGACTTTTGGATGCGCCGCCAGCAGATCGATGCCACCACCGCTCAAGGGTGCCTGCGTCTGCTCAATGTCGATGGCGTACAGGTGATACAGCTCGCTGCCGTGCTCCGTTTCACGCAGGTAGAGGATGCGGGAGTCGTCACGGGTGAAGGTGAAGTAGAAGCAGATGTCACGACTCTGGCACGCGGTCAGCTGACGGCCGCCGGGGATGCCGCTGTTGACGTTGCTTGGCGGACGCAAGGGCAGCGACGCGCAGAAGAGATTTAGCGCGCCGCCATTGGTCCTCGCCATCCACGCGAGGTATTTGGCGTTTGGCGAGACCTTGACCGCGGCCGCTTCGGCCTTGGAGAAGAGCGTGTGCAGCGGGATGGCCGTCATTCTTGTGTTGAGCGGAAGTCGCGAGTAGTAACAGGAGGCCACTTGGAGTGCGTCAGTGTTGAGACTGGCTTCCGCGCGAGAGGCGACGAGAGCGAGCGCAGCGACGAAGCAGGCGTAGGTTCCTCTTCATATGAATAACAAAGAGGACCGGTCCTACAGCACATCCGAGGGCGCCGACGCAACCAAACCCGCGCGGGCGGCGTTACCGTCGTGGCGGCCCACACCTCCCATCCACACCACACGCCACACCACCGCTCACCAGCGGCGCGCCCACACCACGCCGCACCGATAACCCGGCAGCGACACGCGACACGACACGCCGACAGGTACGACGTACGTGCGGGAACGCGCCGCGGGGACAGCCCTAGGGGACACGCGCCCCCCGCCCCCCGCCCGGACCCCGGTCAAAGAGCGATGTGCAACCCCAATCCTTCGTTCCTTCCCGCACCCCGGTCCCCGCTCCCCTCCCGCACTGGCTCCCGGAGTGCAAGAAATGTCGTGCGCACGCCTGCCACTCCTGCCGCAGACTCAACGAGGGATCCCGACCCAGAGTCCTTGAGACGGAACACCCCTCCCACCGTCCTCCCACATGGACATGCCAACCACGATCCGTGCGCCGGCGCCGGCACGTGGTTGCTGTCCTTGCGCCGGCAGCTAGGCCGCCTCCGCCTTGGCCCTCCCCGCCAAGACGCGCCTCGCCTTGACGGCGGCGAGTGCCGCCTCTGCTGCCTCGGCCTCTGCCACTGCCGCCGCCGCCGCCGCCGCCGCCGTTGCCGCCGCCGCCACAGCCGCTGCCGCAGCCGCTGCCGCAACCGCCGCCACGGCGGCCGCCTCCTCCTCCTCTGCCGCTGCCACAGCGTCTGCCTCGGCCTCAGCCTCCCGGCGCGACCCCGCTGCCGCCTCCGCCTCCGCTGCCGCCTCCGCTGTCGCCTCCTCACCCGCCTCCTCGCCCGCCTCCTCGCCCTCCTCCTCGCCCGCCTCCGCTGCCGCCTCCTCGCCCGCCTCCGGCGTCTCCTCCTCGCTCGCCTCGCCCGCCGCCTCTCCCAACGCCTCCGCCAGCCCCTCGACCGACGTCTCCGCCGTGATGCCGTACCGAATCCGCTCCTCGGTGAGAGTCTCGAGAAGCCTGAGCATCCCCTCCTTGTCCAGCGGCACGGGCTTGGCTGTGGCTGCCTGTGCCGGCGCCTCGGGATCCTGCGATGGCCCAGCGCCGCCGCTCCCGCCCCCCTTCTTCTTCTTCTTGCCCTTCTTCTTGGCGCGCTTCTCCGCCTCGACCTCCGCCAGCAGCTCGTTGGCATGCCGCTCCGCCTCCGCCTCCGCCGCCGCCCGCTCCGCTGCCCTCGCCGCCGCCCCCGCGGCCCACGCCGCCTCCTTCGCCGCCTTCTCGGCCGCCTTCTCGGCCGCCTTCTCTGCCGCCGTCTCGGCCGCCAGCCCGGCCGCCGCGTGCTCCTCGAGGGCGCGCACGCACTCGGCGTGGCCGTTCTCCTTGGCCAACTGCAGCGCCGTCCAGCCAGCCTCATCACGCAGCTTCGTGTCGGCGCCCGCCCGCAGCAGGCGGAGCACGACGGCGAAGTGGCCTTGGATGGCTGCGCCCATCAGCGCGGTGCCGCCGTCGCTGTTCTGCACGTTGACCTCCGCGCCGTGCCGTATCAGCAAGTCGACCACCCGCTCGTGGCCTTGGCCGGCGGCGAGCATCAGCGCGGCGAAGCCGCCGCTGTCCTGCAGGTTGACCTTCGCGCCGTGCCGCAGCAGCAGCTCGACCACCCGCTCGTGGCCTTGGCCGGCGGCGCACAGCAGCGCGGTGAAGCCCGCAATGTTCTGCCAGTTGATCTCCGCGCCGTGCTGCAGCAGCATGTCGACAACCCGCTCGTGGCCGTTGGCGGCGGCGCCCGTCAGCGCAACGCTTCCTTCGCTGTTCTGAAGGTCGATCGAAGCGCCACGTTGCAGCAGCGTCGCGGCCAGCCGCTCGTGGCCGTTGTAGGCGGCGAACATCAGCAGTGGATCGCCATACGCCGTGGATGTTGCATCGACCCGCCCGCCGCCGTCGAGCCACGCCAGCACCGCCGCCTCATCACCCTCCTCAGCCGCATCCGCAATCTCCTCGGGGACGGCGTCCTCGCCGCCAGAAGGCGACTCGCCCTCAACGCCGCCGGACGCGGGCGCGGCCCCGACCGCCCCCACCCCGCCCGCCTCCGCCGCAGCCGCCGCTGCCTCATCACTCAAGGAAGCGACGCCGCCCGCCTCGCCGATCTCCTCGGGAACCGGCCCGCTGCTGCCGCCCGAAGCGCTGCCTGCCCCCGCGCCGCCCGCCTCGACCGCCGCCGCGTCGCGCCTCGCCGCCGCCACCTCGCCGAGAAACGTATTGACGGCGGCGACGCACTCAGTGTGACCCTTCTCTTTGGCGATCTGCAGTGCCGTCTTGCCGTTCGCAGTGCGCAGCGCCATGTCTGCGCCTGCCCGCAGCAGGCAGAGCAGAACGGCAGGACGGCCGCAGTGGGCGGCGCTTGTGAGCGCAGTGTAGCCGCTAACGTCCTGCAGATCGACCTCTGCCCCATGCCGCAAAAGCAGCTCGGCCAACCGCGCCTGGCCTTGGGCGGAGGCGAACATCAGCGCAGTGCAAGCGCAGCTGCTCTGCAGGTTGATCTCCGCGCCGTGCTGCAGCAGCTTCTCGACCACCTGCACGTGGCCGTTGGCGGCGGCGTTCATCAGCGCCGTGACTCCTTTGCTGTCTTGGGCGTCCACCTTCGCGCCCCGCTTCAGCAGAACCTCGACCAGCTGCTTGTGGCCGTTGCCGGCGGCGATCAGCAGGAGCGTACAGCCACTCACACCGCGACGCACGCACGTCGCATCAACCCGCCCGTCCCCGGCGAGCCACGTCTGCACCACGCCCGCCTTGCCGTCCGCCGCCGCTGCTTGGATCTTTTTCGGCAGCGCGAGCGGCGCAGCCTGTGACGCCGTCGAAGCAAATCCGCGCCGGGACGCGGTCCCGGCTGAGCCAGCCTTCGTTCGGCCTGGCATGTGCTCCGCCCCTCCCTCCTCGCCGGAGCGATCCAGCCAGGCAACAACTCGACCACCGGCCCTTCATGCCGTAAAGGGTGGTCCCCTCGCGGCCCTTCATGGCCGCTGCCATCAGTGCCGTATAGCAACCGCTGTCTCGCGCGTCCGCTTCTGCGCCGCGCTTCAGCAGCAGCTCGACCAGCTGCTTGAAAGGGTGGGCGGCGACGATCACCAAGACCGTACAGCCACTCCATCCATCCACCACGCTCGCACGTCGCATCGAGCCGCCCACCCGCGCCGAGCCACGTCCGCACTGCGCCCACGTTGCCAGCCGCCGCCGCGGCTTGGATCTTCTTGGACAGCAAGTCAGCAACGGGAGGCCCGCTCCCCCGGCCGCTGTTGAAGCGCGTCCGCGCCGGGAGGCGGCAGCGGAAGCCTTGGGCCGGCCATGCATGGAGGCGTGTGAGGCTCAGCGAGTTTTTATTTTGGTGCGAAAAGGCGGGGGGCGATGTGAACAAAGAAAACGGTGTGTGCGTTCTTTTTCGGCCACTCGCCACAGCAGGGGCGTGTGTGTACCCGCGCGGCGGTTGTGCCGGTGGGTTTGGTTCATTCGGCGCGCGTGCTGCTGACGGCAGAATAAAGAAAACGCGGTTCGCACACACAGAACGAAGTCGCTCCCCCACCCACACCCGCACAGTGCACACTGGGGGATGCACACTGCATGCCACACACTCTCTCGCTCCCACCCGACCGTCACGGCTACGGGCGAGCTCATCCCGCGGCGGCGCGCCACGCGTGTCAGCGCCCGTTGTGCGTGTTTTGGCCGAAGAAGGGGCACTCGCCCGCGCGGCTCGGGCTCTTGAAGTCGTAGAGGTGGATCCACAAGTTGGCGGCGTACTTGACGCCCGCCTCGACCGTCACCGCCTCGTGGTGCGTCTTTGGCTCGCCTGTTCGCGACGGGAGGCGTGAAGAGGCGCCGTTCACAGCCTGCCGCGGCGCGCCTTTGACGCTCGCCCGTGAGCAAGTCCGAGTCGAGCACCGATGGCCACAGCACCGCCCGGCCGAGCTTCGGCGTGACCTACATCGGGAGAGATGGCGGGGAGATGGCGGAGATATGGCGGAGAGATGGCCGAGCTTCGGCGTCACCTACGCTCCATTCCTCGCCAGGGAGTGAATCATGGACTCAGCACCGCCCCGGCCAAGCCTCGGCCTCACCGTGATGCCGAGGTCGGTGAAGCGGGTCCCGCCGCCCGCCTACGGGGAGGTGAGGCAAGGCCGACTGCTTCCGCACGCGAGGGAGGTGGGGCGTCCCCTCGCGACTCCGCGTCCAAAGACAGGAGCCCGGCGGCAACCAAAGTGCAAGGCCCAGTGTGTGTGTGTGTGTGCGTGTGTGCGTGTGTGTGTGTGTGTGTGTGTGTGTGTGTGTGTGTGCCTGTGTGTGTGTGTGTGTGTGTGTGTGTGTGTGTGTGTGTGTGTGTGTGTGTGTGTGTGTGTGTGTGCCTGTGTGCCTGTGTGCCTGTGTGTGTGTGTGTGTGTGTGTGTGTGTGTGTGTGTGTGTGTGTGTGTGTGTGTGTGTGTGTGTGTGTGTGTGTGTGTGTGTGTGTGTGTGTGTGCCTGTGTGTGTGCCTGTGTGTGTGCCTGTGTGTGTGTGTGTGTGTGTGTGTGTGTGTGTGTGTGTGTGTGTGTGTGTGTGCGTGCGTGTGCATGCGTGTGCCGCCCGCCTCGACGTCCGAGAGGTAGACGAAGAAGGTGTAGACGCG